ACAAATGTTGAATAAATTCCTTTACCTTCCACTTTGATTGTACTCTGTGATCCCTCATTTTCATCCCAGAAATTTTAGTCGATATAAACAATGTTGTGTAGCAGACTATGATAATCACCAATGGTAAAAGAAAGCATCCAGCCATTAGGATGAATTGATATGAGGTGACCGTTAGAAAAAGAACAACTGGTATTATTCCGACAAGCCACACTCCAATAAGAATCTTCAACATGGTCGCTGAATGTTTAAAATGAAAAGCAATACTTATATATGTACCCGGTTGAGAAATGAAAATACAAATATTTTGTAGTTTTAGTACAAATTTAAAGAATATGTTTGAAATGTTGGAGAATTAATTGAAAATGACAAATCGTAAATAAGTTGTAATGTTTGAAAGAGAAAATGGGTGAACCATGAGGGATCAATGTCAATTTCAATTTCGATTGCATCAATTTTTCACAACATAATATTTTGCATGAGGTTTTAGTTGTGAAATGATAAGAAAGACAGACAAAAGAAAAATTAGGCCTGTGTCAAACGTCGAATTTTACATGTGCCGAATGTATTTAAAACAAAAGATAAGGAGGAAATTCATCTCATTATCTTTTGTTTTCAATGTATTCAGCACTTGTAAACTTCGACGTTTGAAACGGGCCTTAACTGAATTGTTGATAGGCGTCAAATAGTTGAATGAGCAATTTATCACCAAGATAACAAAACAACAACAGACTCTATCTGCGCCTTAAAATATTGAGCAAACTTTAAAGATCAAATATGGCTCTGAAACTATTTTCACACTTCTTTATTTTAGACACGCGCGACAAAGAATTTATACATTCGGTTGAATCTGATTAGATGGTGCGGCACTTAAAAATATCTGTTAAGTATATCTGTGCAATTTTCATGGTAAATATCAAATAAAAAAAGCGCTTTCAAAAAGTAAGTCTAAACAAGATGATGGATACGTGAATTATATGTTGAAAATGCTCTTGTCTGTGTATAGTGCGCTTTAGACTGTAGCTAGGTACTTATGAACTACATTCAATTAGTCCGGAAGTTTCACTAGTTTGGTAGCTCGTTGCTATGACTTCTTATTAAACCGTTTTTCTCAAAATTTAATAAGAATATATACAAACAATAAAAGCAAGTCTTGTGACAAATAAAAAACAACAAATATGTATAGTGCAAGTAGTTTAAACTGGATATGGAACATATTTGTTCATAGAGTAAAAATAAGAAATCTGAGTCAAATTGCATAATATAAAAAATCATCTATAAAGATAATTCCTTGGTTACCTTTACGAAGAAATCTTCTTCTCATTGGACATGTAATTGCGTAACATCGTTCTACGCTTATACTTGCAAGATGAGCAATGGATGCACTTCCAAAGAAGATGTCTAACGATTGTAGTGAAAGACCATACGCTCGTGAAACAAATATTCCCATTTCATTAGCGTAAACTGCATACATATACATAGGCACATTAACCAAGCCAACAAATAGGTCAGCTACAGCAAGCGACGTAATGCACATATTAGGTATAGTTTTGAGTTGAGTATTTCTCAAGACAGTCTGAATGACAAAAATGTTTCCAAGCACAATTGCGACTGCAAGAAACGCCAACAGTATTTCTAAGAGAATTACAAATGCCGAGTCCTTCATTTTTCTCTTGTGAACTATATGAACAGGACTTTTTTAAGGTGACGATTTTATAACACTATGAAAAAATAACACCCTCCATATCATCAATATTTTTGTAATCCTGATGGTTTCTTTCTCAGTGAACCAAAACAGCTGGTTATAATTAGCACGAGATAGTTTCAATTGGTTCGATAAAAAGTGAAATGCTTTATTGATTACCTTTCCACCTGTTAATGTTGTAGGTTTTTGCGTCTTAATTGATCAACATTGTTTTTGTTACGTGGAGAGACAAAACAATTCAGAATCTAAATTAAAACGTTTTAAAGGAGGCCGATTTGCAATCCAATCAACTAGGTATGTATTATATCGCCGAACAGACAATAATAATATCCGTATGACTATTTGTGACACAGCGACGAAATATGAAAGGTCTTGATTCTCAGCAGATTTGCATATGGTATGACGAACTGCCTGGCAGAGTTTCATGTCTCTCATAATCCCATTTAACACAGGCAATTGTGAAAAAGTTTGGATAAATTTTGAATTTTAAAAGCGATATTGAAAATTAGAATGCTGTGATTATAGAAATAATAAAAGACATTTAGTTAAAAGTCATCAATGGAACTGATATTAAATGCAATTTGCCACAAGTAGAGTTGCTATATACATTGCATCATTTGCGTAAGAGCTAAAACATATATGTTTTGTTGACAAACACTTGTAAATGAATTGTTGGTTAAATTTAAAAAGATTATGGATTTACTAAATATTTAAAATATTTGCTAAATCCCACAAAGTTATACCACAACGCTGTCGCAGTTTTCTCCATAGTTTTCTCCATGCATGTATTCATATCAATCAACATTCTCTAACAGTTATTTTAAATTAAAGATTTCAAAAACATATCCAGTTGCCTTCAATATAAGTTCATGAATATTCGGATTTCCTAAAAGGATATACAGCAGCAAGTGTGAAGTTTTGATAAATATTCATTGAATGTTAATATGTACATGAACAATAAGTAATTTGTGCTTGTCAAGAGAAATTAAACGACGGACGTCATTCTCGTCAACGACACAGCTTGTCACACTGATACTTTTCACTTTTTCTGTTGTAAACTACGCAAAAAGTTCGCTTTTCCAATTTTTCAAATCAAATTCATCAAAATTAGAACACATGATGAATACGCAAGTCTTACAAAAAGAATGCTTTTAAGTCTAATGAGTATAATTCATAAATTAATTTCACTTTATCAAGGAGAGGTGCGTGTAAGGTGCCACCATTACGAGTTGATGACCGGAGGAAGTTTACACGGCACCCGTCCTTCCCAGAGTGATATTCATTTATGAATTACTCAACAGACTTACTATCATGCGTTCTATCTTGATGATTATATATATATTATATAGATGATCACTGCGATCTGCAACTGTTGACCCAAAAAATATAATATCCCCCATAACGGTCACCATCAATATTGATAAGCAGCCGAGGTATTCATATTATTTATACATTTTGTATAAATATTTAACGTGAAAAGTCTGCGCATGGATAGATTGATATTATCATATGTATATAACATGGACTCTACAAAGTTGTAAAATTTAAACATTCGTGTTAGTATATAACGATATAAAAACAATAAAATGCCCAATGTCATGAAGATGAAAAGAATAACACTGCAATAATGTAATATTAGTCAGTATTCCATAAAATTCTTTACATTTTGCTTCACATGTCAAACGATCATTATGCAAATGAAAAATGAACTATTGGACTTTTATTGTGTATCGCACCGCGTCAACTTTCCCGCGAAGCTGCGTATACATAACAACTTACAGTTTGTGTGCTAAATATGCGCAGTTGTAGAACAACTCTGACTTTTTATTGAGTGCTCTATTCTTATCTGACACCAAAAATGCAGAATTAAAGCAGAAACCAAAATATTTTCAAAGGCCTGTTCCAAACGTCGTATTTTACATGAGCCGAATGCATTTAAAATAAAAGATAATGAGGAATTTTATCTCATTTTCTTTTGCTTTAAATGCATTCGGCGCATGTAAAATGCGACGTTTAAAACGTACAAGCCTGAGGTAAAAGTTAGTTTTTACTGAGACTAAACAAGAACATCGTTTTTTGAAAGAATAGCAGGGTTTTGTTTAACTTCTACGTCGTTGTTTGTTTTTAAAACAAAATTTATTGTCAAATGTTTTAACTGGGAAACGTCTCTATGGTGACGTGAACATAGTATTGTAATAACAATGAGCTCACCATTGCTGTTGTGAAATGCGTTTTTAAACGTTACACGGATTATGTAATGTAAACATAAACATGATTAAGGAGGCAGACTATTTCTAAATGGGAACTGCATTACGCACTTAAACTTGGCACTTAAACAAAACTGATGGAATGTGTAATCTAGGATTTGTATTCGAATTGTGCTTCATGTGGTTTTTGAAAAGAATTCTACTCTTCAAAACTTCCTAAAAATCTCTATAAAGTAACCAGAAAGATTGTTTATGCCTGTTGGTTGTGTACTTACTGAAGCCACAGTCGTAAACCTTTGAACATTCTACCTCCTCCATGACCTTCTTCATGTTCTTTCGTAGCACAGACAGGTTTTCTCTAAAATGCTAAAGCTGTGTATGAAGAAGCCACGGAAGATGATGCTAAAAACTCATTACCAGAAGGAATGCCAATGAATAAAATTGTTGATAATGCATTGTCATATGTGATGGAACTTTTTGGAAAAGTATAGATTATTATTCCTAAATGGTTGTTTATGCTACTGTTTCTAAGGATGCAGGTATCAATGTTATCTTGTGTATCTAACATTAAAGGATGTTCTGCAATTCTTACGATACTTAAAATGTGAGAAAAAGACAAATGAAGGCCAAAGAATGAGACACCTATGCATGTGGTGAATTATGACTCAATTAGGTTGTTTAAAATGTGTATTTGCTGAATAAATTTTCTTGTCTATCTTTACCAGCTATTTTCTCAAAATATAGCACAATTTTGGGCATTTATAATTCTTTTAAAAATATAATCTGGAGGCAGTTCTAAAAGACACATTTGATGGATATTTATAGTAGAAGCAGGAAACTGAGCTTAAAATAAGCGACTTGTGATCTTTTTTAAGAATATCACTGTTTCCAGCTTCAAATATAATCTCTAAACGTGCTAAGAAGGCTTTGATTTTGGCATTTTGTGTCTTCCACATGATAACAAGGCTGAGTTGAAAAAATGTTTTAAAATCATGGAAGGAAAGTTTTTATTTTTGGGCTGTAAATGCAATTATAACTTTTCAAAGTTCGTAAGTACTTACATCTGCCAAATGAAAGTTACAGGTATTTCACATTGCTTGAAAGATTGATCACGTGACTATGAAAGAATTGCTCGAAACTTGCCTTACTTTGCCAATTTTCACGTTCTGAAAGCAATTTTTACTCTAAAATAATGTAATAGAGCTACATTGCGTATGCAAAATAAAATTAATTTGCAACAGTGGCACCTGTCTGTCGTCGAAAAGTACACATATATTCTTACAGCTATTTAGAGGCCATGCAACCTCGATCATTGGGGAAGGGGATATTCATATATGCATGTTCTAAAGAACAAAAGCTAGAAGCAAAGAGAAGCTAATAGCTTCCATTGAAATCAGTTGTGGTTGGGGATTAACACGGATTAAAACATGCAAATATATATATTTCTATATTTTAATCCATTGTGCAGTTGAAAATACATTCAGAAACAAATTGAGGTGTTAAATAAAGTAAATATGTAAAAACCTTGAGAAGATTTAACTGTGGTACTTCAATGAGTAGTCTAAATTTGTTGTTCTACTTTACTGAGAACTGCTCAATAAGATCGACCTAATTGTTCGATCTTTTCCAAAATGCAGCAAGCTTTGTATTGCATGACATAATATTAGGCGTTATTCTTCTTCTTTGGCATGGGATTACTTCTGTTAAGGATGGAACAGCTACATTTCTTACACCTTTTTTCCAGGTAAATTTCAAGCTAATTTCTTGATAATTGGGAGTGAGGATGACAAAGAGCATCCATGTTTAACTACGAAGCAAATTAGCACAAGCATACACTTGTATGATATTTTCTGACGTCATTAACTATTTTGGATCCAGGATTTTTCAAACGCCACTCATGGAAGGGCTCCGGAAGCATGCTCCCCCGGAAAATTTTGATTTTCAAGGCCTCGCGGAAGTGCAATTTTTAGCATTTCCGACATCACCCACGGTATGTTTAGGGAAATATACGTTACTTTACAAAAAGAAGTACTCCAACTCAGACAGTCTTTTAATTTGAAAGTGCTAGCAAGCCCTCGCACATAGAGATACCTAGAGTAACCAACCTTCACACTACATAATGACTTAAGTATAGACGGAAGAACTGGGGACTATGAATTCTATAGACACACACCCCCAACTTAGTATGAATGAAAACTGAGGGGCTATGAAAAAACCTTATCAAAAGTTTACTCAATTTTTTGATTATTTTAGAACGTTCTATTACTTGATTACTACTGACTGCGATAACAAAAGAAAAATACTTTTATTGTAGGTTCTGAAAGGCGAGGGAGGTTCTTGGGTGTCTGGAGCATTGCAATATTATATATTTGGCATTCTCTGACATACCTTTATTTATATTGCAAGTATTATGACGGTACACCTTAATCATTTAGATGAGAAAAACTTAAAGGGATCTCTTATTCTTGAGTTTTGAGAAAGATTCACCATAGTCCATATTTCTGTATAAAAATCAAAAAGATGAATGGTCAGAGTTGAAACTTGCATTGAAAAACACCTCAATGAAATTCGCGGAATCACAATCAAATTATTTCCATTATGATGAATTTTCACTTTCAGAACGCTCATGTATGGAATAATTTATTCCATACACAAGCGTTCTGGAAGTAGAAAGGCAAAAAAATAAAAATGCTTTTGTTGCTTGTTAAAAGAGGTTTCTGATTCTCAAGCCTCACTTCTATATCATAAAATCGATCGTTCCTAATCCAACAAAAGCCGTGATTTTCTAAGAAAGCCTGAATTATTTCGTAACTTAGCAATTGGTAATTTTCTCTTAAACGAAAGTGATATTATTTATCGTATGTGGTAAAGTTTATTGTTTGATCATGAATTTTATTTGAATTATTCAAAATACCAAGAAATTATATTCAAAATCGACGTTAGCTAATGTCTTGAACACGTAAGACAAGTTGTGATCTGTATGACGAATAAATGTCGCTTTTTGATGCCTTTCTTCTCAACGGTAAGTCTTTCATGGCTTGAAAAAAGTACAATACTAATAAAATTTATAAATTTGTGTTTAAGAATGTAAATTTAGAATACTTATGTCTTGTTCTGACGACAAAATCGTAGCAGCCAATATACAATGTTGAAAGAATCGATAAAATATTGACATCTTGATTTTGCGCCGTATTTAAACAAATAAACAACGTAAATAGTTATATATTCTGATGTTGTTCAAATTTTAACAAGATTTTAACTTTGATTTCGATCTTAAATAACATCAAATAATGAAAGTGAAAGCTATTACCTAAAATGAGTAAATGAAATCGACAACACAAACTTCCAACATTTCAAACTACAGATATTTCAAATTTAAATTATTGCCAATAAAAGAACATCACCGACGTCTAGTTGCTAGATTAATATAATGTCAAATTCAATTTTAAGTAAATGTTCAGCATGATCTGATAACAGCTAAGTTGTTTTCAGGCTCAAAACTGCATATTTCATACTTGAATTATGGATAAGATTAGTGCTAAAACCGAATGCTGTTGCCAAACGAAATGTTCTGTCTCCAAGGCTAATATTACATGCATGGATAGCGCTGACTTTTATTTAATAAGGGCATGACCAGCATGACTTTAAAAACCTAATGAATAATTTAATCTTGGTGTACAACCCAATGTCACAATTATGTTGCAAATAATTAATTATAGACAATTTTCAAATCAAATGGTCAATAGTTAAATGAGTAAAATTTGCAAGGAAGGGAACATGGTTGCTGGATTGAGTAAAAATTCAAAACGCTCTTCAAATATTTGGTAAATTCGTGGAATATCAATGACCAAAATGTTCAAAGCGTTAATAAAAACTTTCCACAACTTACAACTGCCCTAAGTTTTTAATATGACACTTGTCTTAGAATATTCAATAAAATTGCTTGGCAAACATTCAATGCTGCGGAAAAATTATTCAACAAAATAAACCCAAAAATATTCAATAGCTTGTGATGAACACAGCGGTGTACCATAAAAACAACAACACCCACTAGAGTTATCAGCAATATTTATTTGTTTTGCTGTTTCCAATGAGTATAGTAATTTAGTAAAGAAAAATGGTTTGCAGGAGCTAAATAATGCAGCATATCGTGCATACGTGAATATGATGTAAGAAAATATAGATAACACAAAGCGAGCAACAAAATCTCACCGTCATTTTTCTGGAATAAAGAATATCAGATGATTAAGACAAGCCAATATCAGATTGCAGGGCATACACGTACGATAGCTATTATTATTTTTTGAGTAGGGTAGGGGGCAGTGAGTATATATCCTTCAATTCATAATAAAATACCGGACTTATTGACTTCAAATTACACGTCATAATTTCTTTCTTCTTTATTTTTCGTCCACCCAAGAATAAAATCTGCCCAAGTTGTCAGTCTTCGAACTGTTTTAGCAGAGTAGCTGCCTCCTCTCCCCAGTCCTCCCTGTCCCTTACGCCTATTGGTGGATGTTTATCATCTTATCATTTTTACATTCTTTTTGTCTAAATGCTTTTAGCTCTACTTTTAAAAAATTACAGCTTAGAACAACTTGTTTTAATTGTTTTTGTGAAAAACAACGACTCGATAATTGCTTACATAGTAGAGGAAGGACTTGGAAGAGGCTGGCAATTGTTGATGCTCAGTTATGGTGATTTGCAACAAAAAAATCTTTTTTGTATTCAGGTCATTGGTCATTGGTTTGAGAATAAATGGCACGACTTTCGTGTGTCTTGTTATAAATAGTGATCATTTCATGTTTTTATTCAGCTTTACGTAACACTTTGGAAGATGATGATGATGAAGACATTGTATCTTCAGTCAGTCGAACGGACCGCTATAGTTTCCATTTCAAACACAGCGGGTTAATATCATTGAGCTCAGATAAGAGAACAGCTGAACGTCGATTTCAACTTTTAAGTGCTGGAAATGGCATAGTTTTCAGTGATCAACCTTTACGAGATAATGAAGTGTTTGAGGTTTCTGTTGATAAGTTGGTTCCACCCCTTTTTGGAGGAAGTGATATTACACTGGACATAGGTAAGCTAGTAAATAGTTATTTGGCAACAAATTACAGCTCCTTAGCGTATCCAGAGCGCTGTAAAACTTCATTTTTCAAATAAGTAAAACTTCTACGTGGTCATTTAGCCAGATCATGAATTCTTAATGGATATAATTCCAAACGACAAAATAGTGATTCTTTTTCTTTGCAAAAGTTCGTTCAAAGTTTAAATATTCTTTTCCAAATTCATGCATCATCAAATCAAAAAACAATTACGACATTTAAGACATTTCCTTACATGTTCGATAATAAAAGGTTAACGTTGTTAAACTTACATTTCTTTAAAGTCCATCTCACTTAGTGGCATATCCACCATAGATAATTCGGGGAGGCCAATATTCATTTATGCATGCTATGATCTACAGAAAAAAATTGATTTCAAAGGAACTCGATCTGGCTACGACACTGATCACAATATACTGGTTTTGCCACAAGCTTATGGCAATTAAATATTATGTTGACACGCTTGCTCAGCTCTACCGCGATGTCGTTCACCTACATTCGACAAATAGGTAATCCCAACAGCATTGAGGGATTGGCCGTTTTCTTTTGATCTTTTTGTGCTGATAGACAAGGGGATATTTTTTGAATGGGTCGACCAAATCACACCATTTCTAAAAATTTTCGTAAGCATGTTTCTTTTGAGTTATTTTCAGCCTCCCATGGAGTCTCCCTCAAATTCTCAATCAATGACATGCTACATTTGTAAAATACAGGAGTGACGTCGTTGAATCCATCGTCCATGAATTTACCACGAACAATGACTGATCTTGCAACTGGAACGTGGATGCTGAGTGGTGATCAGGTTGTAAGAAATGAAGTAATAATCAAACGAAGGTCTGTAAAACGTAATCATAGAGATTAGCAATAATAGAGAAGCAGCTAAATTGGAGTTTAAAACAAAAGAACTTCATAGACGTTCTTCAATTGCTACACCAATATGGTGGTTATGACGTCATGAGAAAACGCTGAATAAGTGAGTTTCAAATAACTTACAATAAGTTCCTAACAACAAACGAGTAAATAGTGAGGGATTTTTCTTTGAGAGGCTCAAAAGGCTAATTTATTACATGTGAGAATCGTTCATCATTTTGTAAATAGAAATATTAACTGGGCAAATCATTTTTTCTTTTTGATGTTTTTGATTATTTTACCAAAATTTCACCAAAGTTTACTCATGTAATGATTCTTAATCTTAACCGTGTAGATATTGCCAAGATCTTAAAACCTTATCTGTTGGAGATCGTATTGGTGTGAGTAAAACAGAAAATGGCTCTCTTCATTTTTTCATTAATGGAAAACATCAAGGACTTGCTGCTTCGCGTTTACCCCAAGGTAGCATGAGTAATAAAGATAATATTTATAGTAGTATTATCTTGAACATGTTAAAGATTCACGTTGTTAATATTCCTGTTTCATTTGAAGAGGTTTTTGCTGTCGTCGATCTTTATGCAAGATGTACTAAAGTGTCTATTGTATCACCTGGAGGTCCACCATCTGTCTCAAACTCACTTGTCTCAAAAGGTCTGTTCTTTGAATCCATGCAAGGATAGATGTTAGCTAAACTAAGAACCGAGTTCCAATATCCACGTCAATTTATTCAGCACACATTTATTCTAGATGAAGACTATTAAAAGGACAAAAAATGGTCCACGAACTTTTGACTTTCAATGTCAAACACTCATACATTTGTGTTTCCTTCTTGATAGTCCTTACAAATAAAGAAGACGAGCTCCGAAGATATCATCAACAGCGACAATGGCTTCAGGAATGCCGTATTGTGACATTTCCCTTATGGTTCATGAAAAATATAGCTTCTTCCGAAATCGAAAAGAGAGTAAGTTAGTTTTTCCTGTATTAGATACAATATATTGTAGACGGAAATTTTCTCTTGTTGTGAGGTTTTTTCGGTTATTGCACAAGCAATTCAATCGTGTAAATTGATTTTTTCTTTCTGTGAAAAAAGAAATGCTTCATTAAATTTTGGATAACTGAGAGATACAAACTTGCAGAACAATTTTCTGAAGTTCTCCTTGGGACAGAGCGTATAAAACTCCGCATACTAAATAAAATTAGACAGAATAGAAAACTTGTTCATTTTTCAAGACAAACATACACTTCCATGCTCTTGAAATTGCTTATACCAAAACTGTTGCTCAGCATAAACATACACGAAACATTCATGGCAAATAGAGCATTGATTTACACTATATACAACTAAGATTATCGATATCAATTTTTCACCGAAAGCACGCATATTTTGCAACCAATACATGAACATGTTTGAGTAGCATTTTCTATGGGAGTATTTTACAGAGTACCGGATTTCAATTTTTAGGAACTTTTCTTGTTTGTGCGGTCGTACGCTCATATATTAGGCCATGATACTTTTACTTGTGATGGCTGTGGAGAAAAGTTTCGTAATCGGGAACTTCATTATTATTGTATGGAATGTGAGGATCTAGATCTCTGTGAAAGTTGTTTCAAATGTAAGTTCTTTTATTGTAACGTCGAAGCATACGATGTTCATTAAATCAAGACCTTCCATTCTTTTTAAACGTGTTTTAGCAAAAAAATGTCCTAAAGATCATAAGTTGGACCACAAGCTTTCAAAAATGGGGTAAGTTGGAACTCATTTTGCTCAACATCGCGGTAGTCTCGTTTTCACATAAAACGTATCCACACGGTTGCTGGGGTTTCCATCTTTCAATATTTAATAACAATAATCAACGCTAATTCAGTTAATTAGCCATGTCGGGTGTGAATGTTTCGCGTTCCTTTCAATTAAAAGACAACTATATTGTGTATCCGTTGAGTCATTGACATCAAAATTAAATGAACATAGTTTGGTACAAATTGAAAAATTGTGTCATGTCGTCTTCTTTATTAAATATATTAAACCAACTATTTGCAAATTTTTTATTAACCGGTTTCTCTTAAGATATACAATGAACTTCATAACTGTCCAAGACGGTTTTAACAAACTTTATTGACTATCTTGGAAACGCAACATTTAGGTGGTACTGTGATGGTAACAACTGTTGTAGACGTATTACTGGCACAAGATTTCACTGTCTGGTTTGCGAAGATTTTGACTTGTGTTTGGGGTGTCAGGAAACAAAAAACTGGCCAGCAAGGTTTGCACAAATAAAAGATTCGACAGCATTGAGAAGTGCAAACAAAGATGTATTTCCAAAATAGACAATTTATTTCTTGAAGCAAACGAAAATCAGTTTAGTCGGTATACTTTTTTAGACACATCTAGCATCAGTCACAGAAAATTAAATTACGTGGCATATTTTATCGATTCAGCGTCTTGCTACCAGCATCATTTTTAAATGAGTCAAAGATCCTGTCAATTTGCATATTATAAGAAAATCAATGTTATTCATCATTAAAGTTTATATGACATGCTGTCCTGATTTTGCACTGTTTTTAGACATAAAGAAAGCCATTCAATGACAAAGTCATCTACGCTAGTAGGTAATATTAATTTATCCGCGCTGATTTTATAAAGGGACAAATGCCACGGGCCCCGTGCCTAACAAATAACTATTAACAGTATCAATGCAAAACATGCCCTGATTGGTCTATAGCTGATTTTGCATTAGCCTGTGGAAACATTCACATAAGAGTTCGGACTTGTATTGTTCTCTGCATTTTGCGTTCTCTGATCTTGGTGATTGGGTAAATATGGTCACATGGGTATCTCACCACCCTTTTTGTTGCAAAATCGCAAATTATAACAATTTTTTGTAACAACAAAAGACAAATATTAAAAACATTTTTCAATGATTTTATGTTTCGTTGTAACTGTGCTAATCAAAGCGATGAAGAATAGAAACTTACGCGCTCCCTTGTGGCAATAACAGTATTAAAGCGTATAAATTACATCCATTGCATTAAATAAATGCTTTTCATAGTAACGATCTATAAACAACGGATAGTGCTGATCACATGAATAAGACAGCACAACAGAAAATTTGTCTTTCCTCCATTTAATGATCAATTTTATATTGGCTGGCTTTTGAAACAAAAATGGCGGACGCTAAGCAATTTTACTTACGCATTTAATAAAAACGACAATTTTTTTTTAAATAAAAAAAAACTTGTCGTTTTTATTAAATGCGCATTATCAATAGTGCTTTTACGCAGTTACGGTAATTTTACTTACGGTGTCCCAACTCATTCGTATGTGCTCTTGTAAAAACCAATCTGAGCTCAATGAATTAAATCAATCAAAGAGGCTTTGCAAATCGATCATGAATACATATAAGAGCAAAAGTTATAAAGTTTATCTCAAATTTATCTGTTTCGCATTATTGTTATTTTCTAATAGAAATAAAGGATGATTTTTGTGTTTGCACTGGCTTATAAGTACATGATAAACAAAAAACTATATATGTATACCCTTCCCTATAAAATCAACATAAAGCGTCGTCTCAATTACCCAGACACCTTTAACTTTTCCCATTGAAACAAAAAAATTATTATTTGAACAGTTCAAGGAGCATCATTGAATGCTGGAACAAGTTATCAACAAGCAGAGAGACCTCGACCTATTCCAACACCAACGACAAAAACTACCCCAGCTACAACGACATGCAACTATCGAAAACAATGTGAAAGTTTTCTTGAAACTTTGAATATTTCAGGTGAGTGCCAAATTCATTTATCTCCTTATTAAAGACCCCAAGTATGCAGCATTAAACAATAAAAATGTGCAATGATACAGTTGTGATATTCAAGTAATCGTCAAAGTTAAAGTGGCGGCCAAAAAGCTTTCAATAAGAAATTCATTGCTCAGGTTTTTGGTTTTTCTTCTTTATTCAGACAAAACCTTCATACCATTTTCATACCAATTGTTGAAAAAAAATTTTTGCATAAAGTGAGTGAATTAAAAAAAATTCACTACGTTATGAAAAAGAATAAAGTTTAATCACTGTTTCAATTTGATTTGTATTATATTTACAAGAGTATTAGCGTAAGTGTTTGATGTGGAACAACTAAGTCCTGTACATTTCATTAAAAAGTGTATTTTGAATGAAGCGACATGGCAACAAACCACAAAATAGATAAATGATCCACAAGATATAAAAACCAACGACAGAGAATAAGCATGTTTGCATAATGACCATGATTACAAACTCGTTTTCAGAATAATTCTCTCCCGTAATTTAACAGTTGTAAATAGGATGATCCTCTTTGCGGAGTTCAATGTTCTTTCAGATGTGCTTGTTTTAAAAATTATTTTGCTATTCTTTGCTATTTTTGCAGACGACTATTTTGACAAAACTCCAGAATACAACAAGTGTTTTTGTGATAGCTGCCACAAAGCTCGAGGAGATAAAGAATGCTACACTCGTGGTAATCCACCAAAGACCTATGCTTTACCTCTAGGTTGGAGTAGATTTGCCATCAAGTAAGCCGTACTAAAAAGTTTAATCGCCTTGGACGAACGATGCAATATTCAAACCATGCATAAATATATGTTATTTAACAGCTAGACGGGAAGTCCGAATGGAAAAATATATTTCAGTCCTGTGCATGTGTTTCTCATGATTCTTAGTTGATTCCCCTCATCATAAACTTTCACACATTTTCACTCAATTGACGTTTATTGCAGTGATAATAACTTCTATTATCTACGTTCATGTTCTCAAATTTAATTATCAACCGAGACCACAGGTGAAATGACGTTTTCTGAGAACGAGGGGGAAAAATATCTTTCCATCCTATCTGACCTCGACAGTGATAAATAACTTTTTTGCCAAAGGCAACTGTCTTCAGTATTGTATTGTGCATGCAGTCATTCTGATTCAACAACGATGACATCGAAATCAATCAAAACTTTGCTTCTCTGCTTTAATTTGGAGTACACAAAATTCTCTTAAAAAAGATTATTAGAAATATAAATTTGCTAATATTTTGCTATGTGCAACAAAATAAAACAAAACAAAACAACTCTTTGCTTAAATATTTATTTGATAGGAATACGGATCTCGTATATTTGGGAATAACTGTGTACTAAAAGATCAATAGATCCGCTTTTAAGGCTGCAAACCTTCTTAAACTTTCAGAAAGAGAAGACGCTTAAAACTCTTTTTTAACAACAGTTAAGAATGTATTATACTTGATAAAAGTCATCATGAATCCATAGAACAATTTAAAACGATGTTAAGATCAATTTCAAGAGATGATCAAATTCCACGTGCCGCCTATGGCCACGTAAAAAATAAATCAAGCATTCAACCTTTAATTTGACTCAAGAAATACATCTACGTAAAAGCAGATCTATAAACTTCCACTTTTAAAAGCTTCATGAAGTTATTTTCTTTAACTTGCTTAACTTTTCTTTCAATTTCAGAATTGGTCCACACGGTAAAGTCTTAAATATATTTGAAAACTGGCATGTTGCCTTCCATGGAACACAGGCGAAATATCTTCAGCCAATATTTAATAATGGTCTACAACTGCTTATGCCAGGTAAGCTCTGTGCAAGCTAGTGACACAAGTTCTATTTTCTTCTTACAATCATTTTTTAGCGGTAGCTATATGTAAAATTTGCTGGTTTTGAAATACTTTGAACTGCTTTAATAAATTATAGTAAAAGACACACACAATATTCCTATTAATTATAAAGGCGATGTTGCTTTTGGTGGAAGTAAATTACGCGAGGGAGAAGGACATTACAACGATAGTTGGAAACCACATGGCTTTGACACTAAGCAAATATTTGTTTCCCCAAGTGTAAAGTATGCTGGTTGTGCTGTCTATTCCAAGAAAATAAGGTGATTTAATTGAGCGTATAAGGAATTGACATCTAAACTTACATTTAATATAATCGCTTCATAACTCATAGCTCTTAATAGGAAAAAGCCATCAATGCATTGAGCACAACAGAGTAATTTTTCCACATGTCGATCAATAAACATTTTTAGAAAATGTTTTCAATCAAATTTATGTCTCTGTTTTTGCGACTTAGAATAGTTCCATACCGATGTTTTATGAAAGAATATGTTTTTTATTTGATAATTTTCCTCTTTTAGCTTTACAGATCCAAAAACTAGAAAAGAATCAATAGCCCAGGTAGCATTGCAAGTTTTAATTCGACCTGGATCATACAATGTTGGAAGAACAACTGTGGAACGTTCGCAGCCATTTGATTCAAATTTCAGTGATAATGAATTGGAATGGTCAACGAAAGAAAGAGGAGCAATAATTGTGACGGGATTATTGATCAAAGTTTCTTAGTATTTGATTATTGATTCGTATGGCATTTACTTTGTTTGGTTAACTGTGATTAACACTACCCTTTTAGTGGCTGTCATTTAATGATAATTTGATTTAATGGTGTCAATTTCCTAAATCAACCAATACAACATTATTCTGTCTCACGTCACCAAATTAAATTAAATTTTAAACATTTCATTTTCTTTACGCAAGCAGTTGAAATTGAAGCTTTTACGAACCGCTCTCTTGGTTTTGAGATTAATTTGCATGATCGTTTTGTACTTTTAGATAAACCAGACGATGCTAAAATACATAGAAGTTGACACATTTTTACGAACATTTGCTGAAATGATAGTCTTGACATTTTTAAATTTTCTATATTTTTTGTTACATCCTCTATAGTGTCTCCTTCTTTACACTATAAAAAGCAATGCATTCTCTTAATTTAGATTATCTAATTGACTAAAAACATCTTTATCATGTAATTCATTAAAAAAAGAATTTAGTCTTCCTCATCAACAGTTACTTTGTCACTCTGAAATAAATTTAGTCTCATCTAAAACTGTAACAACAAGTACTTCCTTAATATTGTTTGCAAATTCTTCTGAAAGCCATTTGATTTCATAGTTGGCCGTCCACCCTTGCGTTGAAACCTTGGGCAAAGACAGTGATTTGATGATCTCCAAATCATAATTACTCAGTTGGCAGTATGTGAGTGAAGCTTCAAAGCAGATTGGCAGAAGGGCAATAAAGGTAAATAATTTTGCAATATTTGTTGTACTCTTCATGGAACATTTTGTGTCAAATTAATCTTACGCTCTTCTTAACATATTCATCGAGAACATCCACACATTCTTCTAGAAGAGCAATTGTATTATCTGTTAGACGGCAGTTAAATCCTACTACTTGAAATGCTTTGTGAAATTTCAGATTCTAGGATTTTCCTACAAGCTCCTTTTCTATTGCAAAAAATACGAAATGCAATTATAGCAAGTGAATGGAAGGCCTGTGAGACATTTAATATTGACATCACAGAGCGACAGGCCTCTTCAATTTTCTAATTCTAAAATCAGTAAAACATTTGTCTTTCTCATCAATACATTTTGCTATCAAAATAACTATATACATTAGCATCTCCAGATGGTAACAGAAGATTATGCTTTTAATTGGAGATCTTTTTAGTGCATGTTTACAATATGGAATATATGCAACCTTTCAACTGTATCAGTCTTGTTACAAACGAGATCATT